CCATCCTTCCTTCCTTCCATCCATTCTTCCTTCCTTCCTTTTCTTCCTTTCTCTCTCTTTTTATCTGTCTCTCTCTTTCTCTCCCGTTTCATTCATTTCCCCATTTTCTCTAAATTCCTGGGTAAGGGTCTCTGATTAACCCATCTTGGTTCAGAGGCCCACCTTTGAGCCAATCAACCATGGCCAGAAAAACAGGGTCATGTTCTACAAACATGGTGCTAGATTATTGTTTCCATGGATAAGAGAAGGGGACCGATGCAAGAAATTGAAGATATTCCTGTGCACTGGGCAGCTATTCTCAAAGGTGACATGGGATCAGAATAATATGGGAATGGAAAGATATTTTTACTATTAAAACTTTGCAACACATGCAAAAAGAGGCATTAATATAGTGAACCACACACACAATCACCCAGTATCAGACATAGCACTTCGGTATGTATCTCTAAAAGTTATGGATACTCATTCAATAAGCATAATGCCATTGCTACACTTTTTAAAAAGTCAACAATAATTGTTTGGCACTATCTAATATCGAATCAATACTTAAATTTCCCCACTGGGACTGAATTTTTTATATTTGATTTTTTCAAGCCAAGAGCCAAACAAGAACCTAATCTTGCACTGGTTTCATGCTGCATAAAAATCTTCTCACCTAGAGCAGTTCTCACCCCATTGACTGACTCAATTTTTAGGACTTAGGAAGAAACCAGACTATTTGTTCCACTGAATGTCACACACACTGGATTTGTTTGTCTGCCCCCTCATGATGTCTTCTAACTTTTTGCTCTGTTCCCATAAACTAGATATTAGTTAAGGGCTTGATTCATTTCAGCTCAACTTTTTCAGAACTTTTCCTTCATAGTGGTGCAGTATGTTTCCTGTTGCATCAAATTAGTCGGAGTTCAATGTCTGGTTGTCACACTCTTAGAGATGCTAAGTCTAATTAGTGGGTTCTGGTGGTGACAGCTTGGTCCCTCCCTGTCTTCTAGGTGTCTTTTTTTCTTTTATTTCTTTGTTTTTTATTTATCTTTTAATTTTCTCTTTATTTTCTAGGTGTCATTATCAAATGCTTGCCTATCGTTTGCACTGACTGTTTTTCCCTGTCATTTATTTCATTACACACTACAAATGGTGATTTTATATTATATAATCATTTTAAATTTATTTTCTGGAATTCCTCTGCAGAAAAAAACCTCATTTAATTAACTAATGTTGCATGATGACCACAAAGTACAGTTCACAGGGGTGATGTTGAATACATTCTTCATTATTTTTAATTGCCTATTTTCAGATGAAGGTTTAGTGTGTTCATTATCTACTATGGTGACACATGGGTTGTTTTCACCTGGGTAGAGGACTTTGTCTTTTTGAGTATAACAGTACAGTGAGAAATGTTTAGATTTTGTACATGTAGTCTGGCATCTCCAAGACTGCTCTTTGATTCAATTAATTAGCTAGAAGAACCCACACTTAGCAAAGCTGTCATACTCATGGTTATGATTTATTACAACAGAAAGATAAAAATTAAAAGCAATGGTAAAAGACATTAGGGCAGAGTCTGTTCTCTTCTCCCAGTAGAGTCAATCAGACAAAGCTTATTTCTCCCAGCAGCAATGTGTGACAACATGCCTGGAGTATTGCCAACCAGGGAAGATCACCTGTGCCTTGGTATGCAGCAATTTTACTGGGGAATCATCACAGAGATATAGCTGACTACTCACTTGGCTCCAGAGATAGAGCTGATATCACATAGCCCAAACCTCCTATCACACTGTTAGCATACACTATCAGGCATGCTGCAAGGCTCCCAGGTAAACAAAGACACTCTCATTAGGCAGAACATTCCAAGAGCTTAAAGGTTAGCTCCAAGGAGCTAGGACAAAGTGCTAAATCTATATTTGGGCAAGGTTAATCCTTTACAGGATAATATATATTCAATGTATTTTGATCAACCACAATCATTATTCCTTTGATACTGAAATTTTTCCATATTAGCTCTTGCGACCTTTGACATGGCTCAGTCTTCACTGACACACTTATATGTCCCTGGTATGAATTCGACCGTTTCTCTAAAAAGGTCTTGTTTTTATTTTTTTTAAATAGGAGAAATGGCATTTAGAGACTATAGCCTTATGCTTCGGTGTGCTCATTGCTACCAAGTTTTCATTGTTTTAGCTACAGCCCATAGAGCTGCTTTGACACTACAATATCAGAGTTGAGTGGTTGCAACAGAGATTGCTGCCTGCAAGGCTTAAGAAAAATTTGCTGACCCCTGTTTTAGGCCTTTTGTTGAAAAGTGAGTTGTAAGTCCATGCTGATATTTTCAATTCAAATTTAACATCAAATAATTTAATTCAACTTCTTTGCTTTTATATGTGTATCTCTTCTCTTATAATGGAAAAAAATCTTGATTCTGTAATTTTCCCAGGACTCTTCTGTTTTAACACTGAAAGTCCTACATACTGGGAAACTCCTCAGGCATAAGCAAATTGGAACAGTTGTTCACCTTACTTGGTTCTTAAAATGTTAATATCGGTATGAATTTTATTTATCTTACAATATATTTAAATTACACCAAATTATTACTAAATGTATTTACTAGTCTATTTAATGTACAAGATATTTAATTAAAACTGTTCACTCAAAGTCTATATTCTAAAGTCAGTTGAAATCATTTTCTGTATGATTATGTCACAAAGGTAACGTTCAGTTAGATATAGAGTTTTTTCCCCCTTTTAGGAGTACCCTTTTACTTACCTATTTTCAATATGTAAAGCAATTACATGATTCTACATTCAAACTGTACAGCAGGCTGGGTGTGTTGGCTCAGATCTGTAATTCCAGCATTTTCTGAGGCTGAGGCAGGAGGATCACTTGAGGTCAGGAGTTTGAGACCAACCTTGGCCACATGGTGAAACCCCATCTCTACTAAAAACATAAAAATTAGTTGGGCATTGTGGCACATGCCTGTCGTCCCAGCTACCTGGGAGGCTGAGGTGGGAGAATCGCTTGAACTGAGGAGGCTGAGGTTGCAGTGAGCTGAGATCACACCACTGCACTCCAGACTGAGTAACAGAGCGAGACTTTGTCTCAACAAACAAAAAAACAAAAACCTATAGAGCAAGTTTTACTTAGAGAAGTCTCACCTCTATATATGGTTTCTCCATTTGCTTAGAGGCAGAAGTTTTTTGTTTTTTTTAATCAGTTTCAGTTTTGTTCTTCCAGTGGGTTTTGTTTTTCGTTTGTTTTCTATATATGAACAATATATAAATGTATATATTTACTTATATCCCTCATACTCTATATACTACTGTGCACCTTGCTGCTTTCACCTAAAAATACATCATGAAGATTATTACATATCAGCATATAGAGATCTTCCTCATCTCATCATTCTATAGTGATATTCCATTATTTACATGAATCCCAGCTTATTCACTTATCCCTCTACTCACAAGTCTTTCAGTTGTTTGTCATCTTTTTCGATTAAAAATACTACCTTATTCACAAGTTATTTTCTAATCCTGCCTGTAGTTTTGTGATAGATTTCTAGACTGAGATTGTTCTATTAGATCGTGAAGGCATACACAAATGTGCAAGGCATTGTCAAACTCTCTTTTACTATAGTTGTAACTATTTTGTATCCTAACCAAGATACAAGATGTTCTATTTTCTTTCACCATCACCAATCCAGTAAGTTTTCACATTTTTGATTTTTTTCACCAATATGATAGGTGAGAGATGTTCTCTCAGCATGGATTTAATTTATATTTCTTTTACTCTGAGGATTGAATTTTGAAACAGGAAAAAGGTCCAGCAAGCCCCTGTGATAACCAAGAGCCTGAGCATACTTTCAGTTATTTTCTCTTTTATGTCAAAAACATCTTCACACGATGATTGTGAATGTATTCCCAATAATTACCGAATTTCTTCTTTCATCATTAATAACTCTGTCTTCAACTGCCATAGTTCCCAGGGAAATATAATAATGAATTGTCCAAAACCACAGAAGAAAAGTTGGTATTTGAGAGCAGCTCTCTCTGATAACAAGTTCCTTGATCCGTGAAACTACGCTATGCCAAACAGCAAAGAGTGGGAATTCCAAGGAAGAACAAAGACCGTTACAAGGAAGTTTCCTGAAAGATACACCCCAAGTGTGAGTAAACAGCTGGTAAGCAAAGTAGCAATGTGAAATACACATCTGGGTTAAGAAGAAGTTAAGATTCCAGGTATCTACAGAGATGAAGAAAAAGAAAAAGAAGAAGTGAAATAAAGATACGTCACGAACTCATCTTTTCTATTTTAGTTTCATTTTCATGGATTCATTTTTGAGATATATAGTGATTTCCTGTGGATATTTGAGTATACCAGTTAACCCTCCCACCTGCACCAGCCCTTTCTCCAAAAGGTACAATGCTTGAGGGTGTTAAAAATGGCGCTTTTTTTTGCCAGTTGCTAGGAGCCTTAGTCATGGAATGGGCTGTCCTCATCCACAGTGTCCCACTGTTTTCTATTCCCATTAATATCTTCCATTTTTGGTGTCATTTGATCCATGGAAATGCCACCGTTTCAATTTTCCCACTGTATCTGAGCATATCAATTCTCTCAGCATCCCAATGCTTTTTGAGCACCCAGTCTACGCTAAGCATAGCCCAATCCTATGCAACTTCAGCAGAGAATGGGTACCATTACTGCAAAAGCGATGCTGTGCTTCCTGCACAGGATGCCAGTAGCCAGAGAAGGTGATGATAGTACATGGTAATATACAGGCTGCAACGCAGTTCCAGAGAGCTTGACTTCAGCGTTGTCTCCCTAGCGATGAGCTTCACTGATTCCACTGTGTATTTAAATGTGCTTTACCCCTTTCTGTGAGTCACATGTGGGCCACATAGAGGATAAAATGTGTTGGTCATTTTATCACCCCACCCTTCTCATTTCCTGAATCTCATGAAGCTGGTTGAGTCTCACAGATCACTAGAGACAGAGCTATTTCCACAGGAGGCACAACTGCTTCCACATCCCTCCTCAGAGCTGTCCCTTGGCTTGGGGGTGAATTTCAGGCCAACAGGGCTGCCTGGGATACAAGAGCGTTCTCCATGGATCTTCCTTACTACCACGGCCCTCTGACCAAGCGAGACTGTGAAACCTTGCTGCTCAAGGAAGGGGTGGATGGCAACTTTCTGTTAAGAGACAGCGAGTCGATACCAGGAGTCCTGTGCCTCTGTGTCTCGTGAGTAGCCTCATCTTGCACACATGTGACATCGTACATTGAATGCGGCAAAGGCACAGTAAAGGAATACATATCCCTCAGTGTTTCACTCTGATGTTGCAGTCAAAATGCATAAAGTGAGAAATAATGAGCAGTGCCAGGAGAGGCATGTGTCTGTCCGTGCTCCCCCATCTGCCTTGCTCTCCCTGGTGTAAAGGCCTGCAAGCAGACTCTGCAGCAGCAGGAGGGATATGGTGGTGGTGAAGGGAAGGGCTGAAGAAGAGGGGTACGGGGGGATGGAGAGAAGGTACTGTTCTCCAGAGATCTGTTTATTTGGTATGGAAAAGGCTAGGGGTTTTAAAAGAAATTTCAATCTGAAAGACTACTTATTCTGCAGTATCCACTTGCAATACTTAAACTATAAATCCTAATAATATTTCACATTTTGTTAGATTTGTAAAGGACTTCAATATTCGTCATTTTCTTTCATTCTTGTAGTCTATCAAGGTAAGCATAAGCAGTCACCATTTCATAGGTAAAGAAACAGAGACCTTGGTTTCTCAAATAATTTGTGTTAAAACTAATTTGGAATTTCCAGAGTCTAAGTTAAATATGAAATTCCAGGCTGGGTGTCATGGCTCATGCCTGTAGTCCCTGCACTTTGGGAGGCTGAGGCAGGGGGATCACTTGAGGTCAGGAGTTCGAGACTAGCCTGGCCAACACGGTGAAACCCCATCTCTACCAAAAATACAAAAATTAACTTGGTGTGGTGGCGTGTGCCTGTAATACTGGCTACTTGAGAGGCCAAGGCAGGAGAATCTCTTGAACCCAGGAGACAGAGGCTGCAGTGAGCCAAGATTGCACCACTGCACTCTGGCCTGGGCAACAGAGTAAGACCCTGCCTCAAAAAAAGAAAAAAGAAATTCCAGGCTACAATATCAAAGAGACCCAGTGGAAGGAACTTGCTTATGCCCAGTTTAGAAAGCAATCCTAAACAGAAATCTGAACAGATATCACTAGAAACCTCCTATCTTGATGTATTTTCCTCTTTGTAAAGTAGGGGCCACTGAACCTGTTATTATACCTGTAACAGAAAGTGAAACCCCGGTGTCTCTTGTTAAAGAAAAAAATTACTCTATGTCATTTGTTAAATCATGGTTGGGAAGACTTTACTCAGGATCATCACAATAGGTATAGGGACCACTGCAAGGAGCTCTTAGTGCAGAGGAAAGATTGGACTCAACTCTGAGTACAGCACGGACAAGTGGGAATTTATGGCCAAGGAGTAGTGTGGGATCAGTGGCTAGAAAATTACTCAGAGGAAACATCAGGGGTAAAGGGGATTCTGGCTAAGCCAGCCTAACAGAATTGTAGCTGAAGACAGACCAGGGTGATCAGTTGTTGCCTGGGGGATGGTGGAGGAGGAGGAATCTCATCAGAACCTGACAGTGATCAGATAGCTAGGGCGAGGTGTCCTTGCCAAACTGACTTAGTAGGGTTCTTTGCTAAAACTGGATTTTACAAGGAAGTACACAAATGGGCCATGGAGTAGGCTCAGAAGTCTGATTACAGACAAAAGTGATTGTCCTTACTAATAGAATACATTGGGACACACTTCTTTCTGTAAATGATACTGGAGAGACAGGCTATCTCTCTTATACCTACATCCACAGTACCATTTAAAGAAAAATATATGTTGGCTAGGAGCGGTGGCTAACGCCTATAATCCTAGCACTTTGGGAGGCTGAGGTGGGCAGATCACTGAGGTCAGGAGCTCAAGACCAGCCTGGCCAACATAATAAAACCTTCATCTCTACTAAAAATACAAAGATTAGCTGGGCATGGTGGGGGTATCTGTATCACAGCTACTCAGGAGGCTGAGGCACGAGAATCGCTTGAACCTGGGAGGCAGAGGATGCAGTGAGCTGAGATGGCACCACTGCTATCCAGCCTGGGAGACAGAGAGACTTTCCGTCTCAAAATAAAATAAATAAGCAAATAAATAAAGAGTGGGTAAGATCTGGTTACATAGAAATGGGATGGAAGGTGCTTTAGGAAGGGGAGGAGGTAGGAACAGTGGTCTAGAAGTTGGATACTTTAAAGTATGTACATACAGGGTTCCTAAAATGTCATTTGGAAACCAGCTTTTGGAGAAGGAGGATGGGATAAGATCAGGTAGTTTTAAAAGAGTGGTTCTAAAGCTAATGGGGAAACATGGATGGTTTTTGAGCGGAGAAGTGACAAGACTAGTGAATTTAGAAACTTAAATCTGACATGAAGAACACAGTGAAGCTGGAAAATGATGGCAATAGAAACTGTTGTGCCTCTGGATGGGAGATGGTGAAGAGCTAGCTGTGATGGTGCAAGCAGCGAAAAGGGAAAAAAGAAGGTGCAAGGACAGACTGGCCAGGATCTCAGGGTATACGGTCAATATTGGGATTCTCCCTCCTTCCTTCCCTCCCTCCCTCCCTCCCTCCCTCCCTCCCTCCCTCCCTCCCTTCCTTCCTTCCTTCCTTTTTTTTTCTTTCTTTTGTTCTTTCTTTCTTTCTTTCATTCTTTCTTTCTTTCTCTCTTTTCTTTAGACAGGGTCTCACCCCAACTCCCAGGCTGGAGTGCATAATCATGGCTCACTGTAACCTTGACCTTCTGGGTTCAAGAGATTATCCTGTCTCAGCCCTTCTGAGTATCTGGGACTCCTGGTGCACACTACCGTGCCTGGCTAATTTTTAAATTTTTTGTAGACATGGGATCTTGCTATGTTGCCCAGGCTGATTTCAAGCTCCTGGGCCCAAGTGATCGCCCACCTCAGCCTCCCAAAGTGCTGGGGTTACAGGTATGAGCCACTGCACCCAGCCTATTGGGATTCTCTTTGAAAATTTATATTTATTCTCAACTGTTCTGTGGTGCATCAACCCAGCTTGCATATTCATCCAAAGCAAAGATCACTGAGAAATGCTAAGAAAAAATAATAAATCAAGTGGAAAGGCAAAAATAAATATTTGTTAAGCCCCTGCACATGATCAGGTCTCACCTGCATCCCTAGGCATGTCACGGAAAGGCAAGCAAAATTTCATTCACCCTCAGGCTTAAGGTTCAGGTCAAGTGACCCCTGTAGCTACCTCCTTCTAGAGCCCCGTTAAAAACTTATTATCATATAGATAAGTGTGCACTGTTAAATTCTAGTTGTTCAATAAGTATTTGAAATCTCTCTTATGTCAGACAGTGTGCTGGACACTCAGTTGATGGCTTTAACTCAGCTCAGAGCCTAGTGGGGAAAATAAAAAAGTAAGAGGACAGTGTGACGCATGTGATAATTATGATGACTGGACTATCATGAGCGCACTGCAGAGCTGAGAGCAAAACGTGGAGAAATGGATATTGGAGCTGAGACTTCAGGAGAATAAGTGGAACCTTCATTCATTCAACAAGCATAGATTGAGCACTTACTGTGTTCCATGTGTGGTCCTAAGCATTGGTAATACAGTGATAAATACTACTGGCTATGCTTCTACCCTCATGAAGTTACATTCCAGTAAAAGGAGAAAACATGATGAAAATCCAACAGTCAGATGACAGAGAGAGACAGAGGGGCTGCTTTCCACTGGGTACAGGAAAGGTTTCTCTGGAGAGGTCACATCAACCAATTCATGCGTCAGGATACAACCCTTTGCAAGCAAAGCCAGAATTACTATTATGACACAAGTGTTAGCCTGCTTGTCTTCACTGACACAGAAAAAGTTACCACGTAGGTGTTTTCTGAGAAGCAAACATTTCGCTAAGCATGGACATGCATTATCTTATTTGTCCTTTGCAAAGCCCTTTGCAGTTGGTGACATGATCACTATTTTGTGAGAAAATAAACGGTAGCCTCTTATTTAATAACTTGCCTAGGGCCAAACTGCTAATATGTTATTACGTTCCCTCTCTTACCTATGTCCCCAGATTCACTGAAATATGTTTCAGGTAGTCACCTTGGACGTGTGTTATAAAATGCCCAAGCAGGGGATCTGAGGGCCTGGATATGCAGTGTCCCCTTCTTCTCTGCTGCATTAAAAGGGCAGTATACTAACCTCAGCGCTTTCACCAAGCTAAATATCTAGTAATGAAGATACTATGAGGAAAGTTCGAAACAGAGAAAGTCACAGAGCGAGTCGACCTAGCAGCATATGGTACTCATCAGAAAGCTATGTGGTAACTGCGGACAGGAAATGTTTTCTGATCATACACCATGATAGAGCTCCTAGACAACGCCAATGCATAAAATGCTGTCTGTGTAGCGTGACTTTATGAGTGTCAGGAACTCTAAACTAAGTCTGCCTTTATCATCTGTCGAATTAAATGGAGTAGCTATTAGCAGGTACTAAGGGTTCGTCTGCAAGTGTGAAGGAAAGGAGGACGTTGCAAAGCCATAGGAAGGCTGCAGGTGAGAAAGACCTGAGCCCTAACCTACTGCATGCTCTCATTAAGAAGAATAATGGCAACGTCTTTCTATTGCCTTGAGAGTCATTGATGAATCTCAGATTCTGAGACTTTTGGAAGGATTGCAGAGTACAGAAAGAAAAGAAATGATCCACTTCGTTGTTGTTGTTAAGCTAATGAAAGTTCATTTTAGAAGAACCAAACGTAGAGAAAGGGACAAAAAACAAAGCAGAAGTCGTATCAGTCTCACCACTCTGAAATCACCATTTAAAAAAATTTTTTTTTAATTTCAGCATACATCTCTCCAGACCTTTCTCTATGCTTCTATAAGCCATACTTAATGGTTTATTACGTATGATCGTTTGCGACCTGTTTTTTCCATAATTGTAGGTATCTTTTCTCATCCCTTTATGACTGCTTAGTAGTTTATTGATTTGCTATATTATAATGTATATATATATATAGCATACATTTAGGTTATTATTATTACTATTTTTTGAGACGGAGTTTCGCTCTTGTTACCCAGGCTGGAGTGCAATGGCGCGTTCTCGGATCAACGCAACCTCCGCCTCCTGGGTTCAGGCAGTTCTCCTGCCTCAGCC